AGTAAGTCCTACTCTAATTCTTTTGACATTTTTCATAATTTTACGTACTCTGTAATTTGTAAATTTATTAGTTATTTCATTGAGTATGTTACATTTGTTCAGTGAACATAAGTAACGACTAATCGCTTTCTTTCCCCTGACATTTAACCAATTTGTTAGTTCGTTTTTGTATGTAACATTTCTTTAATCCTATGTTCTCGTCACGAGCGCGGCATACGGGCGAGATAACACACGAGGCGGTTGCCATGCTCCTGCCAGTGATGTAAGATTTGCGGATTTTTCCGCCCATAGCGTAGACCCAGTCTAGAAAATCTGGAAATGTCTGTACATAATGTCTGGCATTGGTATATACTTGAACATTTCTCATGTAATAAATTGGTTCCAATTTTGGTATAAAATTCAAATAACAAGCTTTAATACACTGTTTATGTAATAAAAGATAAATTACGAATAGCAGGAACTTTTGTTTTATAAATTACTTGAATATGAATTTTTGATCATATCATTAAATACCAATTTCTCACCTTCATAAACATTAACTGCTTCGTACATATGAGAACTTGTATGATTTGTTATACGGTATTATTAAAACAAGTGACACAGGTCAAGGTCAATTTCGCGGTCCATTTTTTAAACAAATCTCCACCGATCCACAAGTATAAAATGTGCCCATAATTTTGACTTAGACCACTTTCATAATTATGGGCACAAATATCGTGAAATATAATTTTTATGACCCTGCACATAGTATGTATTAAATGCATTCAATGATATGTGCTAACGAAACAAACCGAAATTTACGGAGTTAAGTTTTGAATGTTCCGATCGAAAACCAATTATAGAAACATCTATTCGATATTCACGGTGAATGTTTATATTTTTGTTTCATGAAAATTTTTCCAGTGGAAAAGTGACAGTGATCGTGATGATAAGAAACGAATCGGATGGTCACTGACTTGCTCCAAGCAAGCTGCTGCGGACCATGTGTTTCTATCTTCGAGTGCCGAAGGTCGACCCATTGACTCATTGACGTTCTTCTAGGAGCAGGTGCACTGACCCTTTACGCGAAGACGAAGGAGCAGAAGCCAAAGCGTTTGCTGGTCATCGAAGGATCCACGAGACACGAGCATTTAAAGGGCAGGTTTGCAGTTTGGGTCTTGCCGGTTACCTGATACACGTATACGGCAAAAATTACGCGTGTAGTGGTACGCTGTTCAAACTACGCTCACGGCTAGGTTCAAAGCTTAAAGCAAAGACATAACAGCATTCTAGACTGGGTCTACGCTATGGGCGGAAAAATCCGCAAATCTTACATCAAGACTTTTAGTTCCACTCTTCTTCACCGTACGCGCTGCGATCGAAATTCCGCAAATCTTACATCACTGGCTCCTGCCCGCCTTATATGCTCGCGCTCTGATTGGTCGAGGTTTTTTGTTAATAACTCGACTACCACGTCTCGGATAACTTTTTTGTAAAGGAAAAAGTTGTTTAAAATCACCATGGCTCCTCCCCATTTCAAGGCCTAACACTAGTTCTGATACACCCTGTATTCTCAGTTGTAAAGGCTACGGTACTGGCTCGGCCGCCCCACCACCTCAAAAAACCCAGGCTGTCGTTGTCGTGTCGTCAGTGTAGCTAGACCTTATGGCTGAGTTAATTTGTGCATTTAACGCGACTTTACTGTACAGCATTCGTGGCAACATAGTCATCTAACACTTGGGTTCCTCTAGGTGGTTGTTCCGAGACGGATAAGATGAATAAAATTAAGCTTTCTCCACACATCCAGGACGGAAAGAAGAAGAGAAAGAAAGAGGAAATAAGAGGTAAAGATTGCCACTTGTGACAAAGTAAATAGGGTGTATGATAAATAATCTATTAGCTGGTTCTACAAGGCATCCCAGAGTTAGTGTTAGGTCCGCAAATGGGGAGGAGCTGAGGTGATTTTGAACAATATTTTCCTTTGTAAAAATGTCCGAGGAGTGGTTGTTGAGTTATTAATAAAAAACCCGGATTAATCAGAGCGTTCGTATAGCGGATGCACAGGGGAGCGAAACTGCTTTCGACACTTGTGCCGAGAACGTAGGATTAAAACAAAAGTTACATGCAAAAACAACAAGAAATTGTTTGAATATTACAGAAAACAAAGAGAGAGAATTTCGGCGCACAAGCAATAAAATCGACCTTTTGGCACTTAAAAAATTATCTGAAAGTGAACAGCGGGGGGTCTGACCTATACTTTTCGTTCTCGAACTGCCAAATTTCGACAGAATATCATTTGTTTGGGTCCCCTTGAAGTCTCCGGCTTTTACACGCCTTTAGTGTACGCTGTAAACTCCACCTCTAGCATTGGTAGACCCGGCCACAGTCGTATATACAGGTCGGGAAACTCTGGTGGTGGGGGTACAGCTCTTAGGAGTTTGTAACGGATACAATAAAGTATGACCCGAAACCCGATAACCATCTGGCGACGGCAAGACGACACCCGTCCGGAACTTAAGTTACGACCTTGGACGCAGATAGGAAAAACCACTTTCGGTTTTTCCTGGAAAAGCGACCACCAACAACCAACCCCTCCTTCGTTAACTTTTACCCTATTGGTGCGCCTCTAACACCCAAAAATTGTATAAAAGACGCATCCTGAAAGCAAATAAACGTTAGAGCAGTTAGAACCTTCAAGAAGACTACTTCTTTATCCATCATCCCGACTGAGTCTCTACGGAACTCTCTCGCAACGATTAAAAAAAGGAACAAACTCGTTTTCGGCGTAACAAGTTGCCGGTCAAGCTTTGCTAATTCGTCACGATACGTAGTGCGCTGCGATTGAGTTCAGTTGCGAGTAGTCGTATATACGACCATGACTACCATGGACTTAAAGGACGGTGCCTAAAGTGGGATTATGGGCGAGGGGAGGGCTCCCAAAGGCATGAGGGGGAAAACAGCTCTGTTTGAGCCCACAAGTGGTGCCCTCAGTGCGGTCCCGCCTGATTTTGAACATGCTTATTCCTCTGATTCGCCTGAAACATGCATGTTGAATATGTGAATTGTCAGAGCCGTCATGATATTTCATGAGACAATCGTAATAAAGTAATGAGTATTCAAAACAATAATTGTGAGATGCATAACATGACGTGTTACATTATATTTTTAGGAACATATATATAAATGGAAGAGCACATAGAGAAGAAATCGAAAGATAATCGCTAGGTTACTTACCAAAGGGCTTACTTTGAAAGGATTATGTACTGAACAGTTTCCAAAAGAAATGCAGAATGAAAATGTGAA